GATGTAGTTTCCGAAGAGTTAGATAATTCACAGAGATTTCGGGAAACGAATAAATTTTTAGGTGTCCTAGAATTTATGAGAACAGCTGTAAATGATAAATTCGTTGGACATTTTTATGATAATCACTTAATAACTGTTGCGGATATTTTAATATAAAAATTTAAATTTTTTTGGGAGAGTATTTTCTTAGCTTTTTTTTAGGGTTAGGTTAGGGTTTAAGGTTAGAGTTATTTAGAATTAATCTAAATTGGCTAAAATTTTAGTATGATATAGTTGAATATATATACTATACACAATAAAAATTTGAGCCAATTTTGATTAGCAGTTATCAAGAAAATTAAAGTCGAATTTTATAAAAATCGTTACTAATCGATAGTGATTGTAATCATTATGTATCGATAATCGTTATATATCATTAGTGATATATATCGATACATAGCAGCTAATCGATATATGATTATTTTAATCGATGTATATCGATTAAATGCTACGTATATATCTGCTTAAAAATTTTGCTGATGTAATCTGTGATGTCTTAAACTAATCATATCGATTAATTTAAGTCGACACCATTAGGCAAGATCTATGAAAATCTATGTACTTACCACGTGAAAATTCGTCATACAATATATTCTTAAAAACCTCAGTTGCGTTGTAAAAAAAAATTAATTGATGAAAAAAAAAATGTCAGATATAGAACATCTTCGTAGCCTTATAAAAGACATACCAGATTTTCCTCGAAAGGTATTGTAATCTCAGAGGCTAACTATTTTTATATTCTCAAAATTTAATTTACTCTAACGCTTCGAAATAAGGGTATCATATTTCACGATATCTTTCCAATCTTTAAAGAACCTACAGCAACTGAAATGTTTGTAAGTCATATCGTAAATCATATTAATGTAACTATTAAAAAAAAAGTTGACGTTATTGTTGGTAATTTATTTCATCAACTTTCTTGATTCTTTATTATTGTGAATGGTTGATTTTTTACATCATTGACTTTTTATATATTGCGTAAAAAAGGTCTTGATGCACGTGGATTCTTATTTGGACCTATGGTTGCTTTAAGATTAAATGCTGCTTTTGTACCTTCAAGAAAAAAAGGGAAATTACCGGGAAAAACAATAAGTGCTGATTTTAAAAAGGAATATGGTGTGGTATGGTTAACAAATTTTCATTATTTTTGTTTTCTTATGAAATTTACATATATCGATATTATAAATAAAATTATAAGGATACTTTTGAGATGCAAGCGGATGCTATTAAACCTGGTCAAAATGTAATTATTGTAGATGATCTAATCGCTACAGGTTTGTGTAATTTCTTTACTTTTTTTTTTTTTTTTTAATTTAGTAAAAAATGTGGTTTATAATCATTCCCTTTACGTTATGTGTTCTATAGGGGGTACGGCTGCAGCTGCTGGTCAACTTGTAGAACAAAGTGGTGGAAAAATTTTAGAGTATATTTTTATGATCGAATTAACAGATTTAAATGGTAGAAAAAACCTCGCTGCCCCTGTATACTCTTTAATTACTTTTAATGTTTAGACCGTTATACTAAAACTTTTTAATGAAAAAGTTTAATTCTATCGGGAAATTTTGTTATTAAATGTCCTAATATTCTTTATTTAAATCTTATCAACAGTTAGGGCAGTGACAGATATTACTTAATATCTTAAGGGAGTCAAAAAAAATTATTTTACGTGGGGTGAGATAATATTTGTCACTACTCCTATGTTTTACTATTAAAAGTGTTAGGATTTTATGGAATTTATCAAAAAATACACAGCAATAAGAAAAAAGCAAATCACATTCCGAAATGTGTTTACTAAATGCGTTGACCCCATTCAAAGAGACATAACAAATAATATATAGTTTTTTGGATGCTATGATCCAATAAAGTACTATTTATTCCCGTTTCGAAGTGAATAATGAAAAATTAATCTACGTTTCGCGTTGATGTAATGGATAGGTAAATGGGTGTAATGTTAAAATGTTTTGAGCTACTGTATGTAGTAACATTTCGACTTTCAACATTTATCATGTCAAAATTCCAAACACGTAAATTCTAAATAGTGTCGTGTCGAAATGTCTAAAATTAAGTTAATATAAAATTCATGTGATTGTAAAGTGCTTTCTTTATAACGATCAAATATATCTATTACTTCATATCAATACACTAATGTGTTCTTTTGTAGATTCTAAAATTTCTTTACCAGGACTTTTAATGATGTTTTAAACCTACTATTATAAAACTTAGTGCAAACTTTCAAATTGAATTTTTTTAGACTTCTTTTTTTCTAATTAGTTACAGGTGCTGTCTATGCTACTGTATCATCGCGAAGTAATGTCCCGGGAAATTAACGATTAAGGTCTTGTCTCCATCGGGTGATACCGGATAAAATTATCAACAGCAAAAATGGAATAATTGGAACTCAAAAAACCGTGTAACAATAGAAATCGAATAACCAATGAAAATAAACCTGCCTCACACAATACAGCAAATTTTTTATCAATCTGATCACGTATTATCAGTTATTTACTCACGTATTATCGTTATCTGTTATCAGTCATTTACTTTCTAACTTTTTTAAAACCCACTTGCACGTTGAAACATGCGGTATGGAAAGGTAAGTATCGATTAATATTAATGTGTTGCAACTAATACTTTTTTTTAATAGACTCGAGAACTACTGGTCCTGCATGAGGGATCAGTTACGTACCTTTCTCGAGCTATTTAAAAAAGGTATTATATTGCATACTCTTCAATCGCTTACCTAACACTTCCGGTGTATTTTTATGACAAAAGTTTGGAAATACATCGGAACTGTTATGAACTTCGTAACCTTTTAATTTATTTCTACGAATCGTGAAATTTTTAAAATGTTGCGAATGAGTTCACATGGGCACGTTGATTTGTTAGGCACGTACGCAATTCGTTTCCGTTTAACAAGTCAAAGGTTGCCGTGGGTCCGTACCATTTTTTGATAATATTTCTACGAATCGTGAAATTTTATCAATTTATGTTACGAAGGCTAGCATTTTTGGATCTGTTACACGAATCGTTGAACAGAGCAAGAGTGACTAGCGATATTCTTAGATATATTTCTACGAATCGTGAAATTTATCGGGAATATTAGCATTGGAAGTGTGTAATATGGTTATTTAATGTATTGGGAGAAAACTTTAGATTTCCTGTTGTATTCACTGAGTTAATTGGTTTTATTTAGTATATTTATACTAATTCTCCCTTTTTTTTTTTTAATATTTGTAGTGTTTTTATCGTATTTTGGTGGTGCTTTCTTCGTCGTTTTGGTGTGTTCCTTCGTGCCTCTTATCGTTTTAAAATGCTTCCATGTCGTTACGGTGGTGTCTGTTTCGTTGGTTTGGATGCAGTTTTGATACTATTTCTTTGATCATTTTGGTAGTGCTTCTTTCATCGTTTTGGTGGTCTTTCTTCCGTCGATTTGGAGGTCGATTTGGAGATCGCTTTGTTGGTATTTCTTTTGTGGGGGGTTTGGTCAGTTTAGTGATGCTCATTCGGCATTTTAGTGGTACTTCCTTCGTCGATTTGTTTGTGCCTCCTTCAAGATTCTCATCGAAAGTATATTGCCGTGTCTAAATACTTTCGATAAATCAATCGTGTTGAAAGTCCAATATCGAAATTCAAAAGTGTCGTCGAAATTCGAAAGTGTAATTGAAAATCGAAAATAAAAAGTCTAAAGTACTACCTAAAGTTAAGTATTGAAATCCAAGTTATGCATTATTATTTCTGTATATTTATATACTAACGCTAAAAAATACTTTGTAATTAAAATATTAAATTAAAAATATGGGCTAGGTGCTGAGAAAAGGGACCAAATTGACAAAAAAAAAGTTTTGCGAAAAATTGATTTTTATATTTTAAATTCTATAATAAATTATAAGAAAATACGAACTTTAGAGAGCTATATTACAAAATTTTATTAAGAAAACAATATTTGCTCCTTAAGTAAAAAATGTTCCTGAGATAATTTGAAATATTTAAGGCTTAAAAAAAAAATGTTTTAAAAAAAATTGTCAATTTGGTCCCTTTTCTTAGCACCTAGCCCATATAATGTGTAGATCGCATGCCGCGAGATTTGAGGAGCTTATCAACAGGGCGATCATTATTGTAAGATCAGAGGATTGGGTTATCCGACATGTCTGACGTAAACACTGAATAACTTATTCGACCACTTCTAGTACAAATGCACCAATTTTCATTCATCTTGTAAGAGGTGATGAAAATCACATAAGACAGGATAATAAGTACTTAAATTATTTTTACGTTTTACTTTTATCTGAAAAATTTATTAAATGTAATAAAAGTCAATCCGAATTACATGAAACTTTCAGAACATATGTAATTTGTTATTAAGACATAACTTAAATATCGATTAACTTAATAATGATAATAGTTACATATATAATAAACATTTTTTCGGTTAATATGAATTAAATGACATCGATATCCTTAAACATTTGAGCTTTGAAATGACCAATGACTGATCATTTGTTATTTGAGTCATTTCAAGTCATTTACCACCCTGCTTTCTATAACGGATAATGAACTGGTGGTTCTGGAAGAAAAAAAAGGTTATTGTAGATTACTTCTTAAAAGCCTATTCATTTTTATATTGAACTATTATAAAATTTAAAAATTAAGTTCTTTACATTTATTTGACTTATACGTAATGTACAACCAATTTTTTTTAGATAGGATGTTGATTATGTAATCTACATAGATAGAAAAGGCCCAAACACCTATATGAATTTGGGTTCATTCCACTGCAAAGAACTAACTAAAAATAGCATTTCATAGTTATCTGATTTTCATAATCTAATCATTTGTACCGGGGAAATTTAATTCATAAATTATCCTATCGCTATCATTGTTCTCGATGTAACAGTAAACAGTATAATTAAAAATAGTAATTAAACATGCCACATGATTAATTAAAATTTATATTTCATATGATAAAAAAGATGTTCGTACGGTAATTTTTTTTACTGGCAACATTACTACTTTAAACTATAATAACGATAATGTATTTTCTCAAAAATTATGTTTTAACTAAACAACCAAGTTATTGGTTTAATCATATTCAAATTCCTTATACTATGATGGGTTTAAGAAAACTATTTCATACCTCAAATGTTTTAAACAGTTTACCTATTAGAGACGGGTTACCCATGAGATTGTTACTACTTGGTAGTCCGGTATGCTACTTGCCTGGCCAGGAAATAATATTAATCATATTTTATTATTTTATTTTAAATAAGATTCATTGTATAATATTATTTCATAATTATTAAAGGGTTCTGGTAAAGGAACACAATCTTCTCGTATACAAAGAAAATTTAATATTTCGGTTATATCGAGTGGTGATCTCCTTCGTCAAAATATAGCCCGTGGAACAAAGATTGGTAAAATCGCTGTAAAAGAAATAGAACGTGGAGGTGAGTCAGTGTGGGTTGCGGGCTAAAACCTAAACAACAAGAGCGAAAAAGCAAAATATCTTCTAATGGTATAGTTTTATATAATGTAATGCAATGAATAGTAAAAAAAAAATATATATTTTTATAGTAATATCTAAATTTTATTATTATTTTCACTTATTTTGAGTAAATAGCCTATATATCGGATGATATCATGATTGAGCTCATTACAAAGGAGCTTCAGAATAAACAACAGGTATTTCTTTATAAAAGATTTTTTTTTTTTATAGTTCAATGTATTAATTTATCTTACATGTAATTAAAAGAATTGGTTGTTGGATGGTTTCCCTCGAACAATTAATCAAGCAGTGGTTCTGGACGATAGATTAGCTATGACAAATCGATCATTAAATTTAGTAATCAATCTACATGTACCAGAAGATGTAATATTACAACGAATAATGGGTGTGTGAATATTATTTTGAATAACTTCTTTTCATAAAGATAATATTGTGCAGAATGCTTATTAAATTATTATTTTCTTTAGATCGATGGGTACATGTTCCATCTGGACGTGTTTATAATTTAAGTTATAATCCTCCAAAAATAAGCGGTATTGATGATATTACTGGTGAAAAACTGACAAAGCGTTCTGATGATAATCCAGTAAGTTTATCATGTGTGAATCCATTCTAATTATTACCGCTAATTATTCATATATAAATCATTTTACTTATAAAAGGAAACATTTAAGATTCGTCTCCAAAAACATCGATCTTTAACTGAACCTTTGTTGGAATATTATACGAAAAGTAATATATTAATTACTTGTTATGGTCGTACGAGTGATGAAATTTACCCACAAATTGAAAGGGAACTTTTAAAAAGATTTGGAGTTGGAAATTTTTATTAATATCTTTCAAATGTTGATTAAATTTTTCTTAAATTTATATGTAATAATTAGTTGATATTTTAATTTCATCTATTTCATTATTAAATTGTTTGGTAAATATGGAATAATTTGAAATTTCTTTTCTGATAATTCACATATATATCGTCAATTTAATGTGACCTATTTAAACTTGCAGGATTTATTGTTATATTGTTTTAAGAATGATCTTAAAATATTTTATCTTAAAAAAAAAAAATTAGATACTTACTGCAGATAGGTTGACACAATATGTGATTGCCTTTATTTCTAGACATATACTTAATTTGAGGTAAAATATATTACAAAATCAAATGGTATATATATTTGTTTTATTAAGTTAAATAGCCTGAAACCTTTTATTTTTAACAGTTAATAAATTATAATAATCAGAAATAAACATTTTAAAAAGAAATAAATATTTATGTAACTTTAAATGAAAATTAAAAAGTTATGAATTTATACATCCAGACACTGGGTAAAAACATCATTTTCTCCACCTTGCATAACACGAGTAATTGGAATAGACGACGGACGATTGTGTTTTTTAATATATTCCTATTATTCCAAAAAAAAGGCCAGAAATTTAATATTATGAAATATATTATTTAAAAGTTTCATTTGTACATACCTCAGCATGATGCAAAGAATATTTCTTTTCCGTAATTGTGGATTTGAGGCCAATCCAAACAAAAACTATTTTATATTCGTAGAATTAGTATCACTCAAAAACTATAATTGATGTAAAACCTAATATAAAAAAAAACAAACCTTGATGCCCCGCATCAAACACAAATACGTCATTAGTGTCGAAATCGCACATTTTGACTGTACCGGTTTTTTCTTCTGTGAACTTCAACGTTCCTGAAGCATCGCTTACTCTGTTAAACATAAAATGATGAATTAATTTAAACGTACGCTTAACAATAATTGAGATTTATATGGCAACAAACTTTTAGTGGTGTCCATCATAGTTAAAAGTTTAAATATTAATATTTAATACCTGAATAATTTCTTTGGTGTACTAGAAATGTCCGTAACGGTATCTTCGGCCGCAGATTTGATTGGACCTTCACATCCAAGTGCTTCCCAAAATTTGCCCATTTCTCTATCTCCCTCGTCTATAACAAAAAAAAAAATTATTAATTTTACTTGATGAAATAACGTCTTGTATAAAACTGAGCTTACCAATAACAATAACATGAGCCAACCCGTTTCTATCACTTATAGTAGCTTGAACAAATTCGGCGGCTTTAACTTTTTCAACACCCTGAGAATTTTTACCGTTCAATTGATATAGAGTAGTTCCTACATCCAATACAAAAACATCTCCAGAATTAAGTGATTTATAGTCTTTTGGAACTTCACGAATTACAATTGTACGACCAATTAGTTTGACTTTCAAAAGTCGATGACGATATTCATGAACTGCATTATGTTTGAAGCCACTGTCGATTCCTCCTTCTTCTACATGAAATTTTTTGAAATAAGATAAGAAAAGATTGGATTCATTGTCTTGAACCTATTTATCGTGGTCAAAAGTATAAATTTTTATTAATCTTGATAATAATAGAAATAATAAGATATAGCATATAGAATAATTACCTCACGATGTTGAATTGGTGAAGTTCCGAGAACTGTTATGTAGAAAAAAAAAAAAAAGTCATAAAAATAAATTAAATGAATATAAAATTCAATTAAATCAATTTTATATTAGAGCTAGAGCTTAGGAAAGTAGCTAGTGTCTGAAATTAGTTTGCGGAGATTGGGGGTCTCAGTAATTTTTAAATTTCCGCAACTAAACTCGAAGCGTATATGCATTTTCTGCTCATAAATTTGCGAATTTGCATATACATTTTTGATCACGCAATAAAATTAAATTTTGATTTCAGACATTGATATAGCTCAAACTGTTGGGACGACTCAACTCTGTGAGATTAGTATCACATTAGTTTACTTGGGTATTTACTGCTTTATTACTATTGTCAAAACTGGGAAAGACTAATTAGGGCAGTGACATTTATTACGTAATATCTTGGGGGGAGGGGGTTTAAAGAAATATTATATGATATTTAACTATATAAAATTGATTAATTATAAACTTATATGATGTGGGGGAGGGAGGGTAGCCTCATAGTAAAATAATATTACGTAATATATGTCACTGCCCTTATCACATAGCTTTGGTCGTCCCAAATAGTGCGGGCACATAATAATTAAAGCAATATAAACTTACAATCATCCAATTCCACCGTCTTATAAGCCGCAGTTCCAACTTCATCCTTTCATAATACATTATCGTTATTAAATTAGATAAATATTATACTAAAATATTTAGTTGCTTATCTTACCTGGCTACTTTCTAACCCAAGCCAAAAATGAATATCATGTGACAAAGCTTCTGTTTCTTTATTTTTCTTGTAAGACTTTATATAAAAAATATATAATTCAATTTTAGTTGGTTGACTTTATTATTGATCAAAGAGCAAAGGTTATTTTTTGAAATTACGTGAAGAATAATATAACTATCACCTAAATAAATAAATATAATATGATAATTTAATTTCTTTGATATAAAACATCAAGCATTAATTGCTTTTCAGAAATTAAACTTACCAGAATAAAAGAATCCATACTTTTCTTTTGGCCAAGGCTTCACTGTAAATTTCTCAATACGCCATATCCAAAGACCACTGTCAAAAGAAAAAAAAAACATCCCAATAAAATCGAATAATCCGATTTGAACTAATTTTATTTATATAAAAAAAAAAAAGATTGTACTAACGGTTCAATTCCAACCTTCATTTTAGGATCAGCCCATGCTTGCTCTTTCGCACCAGCCTGATAATGTGCATCTTTCTCGAGTTTTGATCCGAAATTTGTGTCTGCAATGTCTATTATAACAGGACAACTAATGGATTAGAATTAAATCATTATTAAATAATTGAGAAATTATTCTAAATCTTACTCCATTTAGGTTGTCTTGGCATGGTTAATTCCTTCTATTGTGAAAATTTTAATGATAAAAATCTTCCCATGGTCATTGACCCATCATTTATATTTGTAATTCATCTTGTGTCACTATCGCAATGCATGGGGAACATCTAAAGTACAGTACGTACGTACGTACATACTCGATACGACCTAATAGTAAAGGTTACACTATAGACCAAATCTTAAAGAAAAATGATATCGTCTCTTACGGTATAAGCAGTGATGATAATTTTCTTCAGCCAAAGTAATGTTTTGGCTTAAAATAGGCTAAATCAATTAGTCATATAGAATTAATGAATTGATTTTTATAACCGGATCAAAGTTTGAAAATTTTCAAAAAAATTGGTTTATATATTTTACAGCTATTTTCATTATTCCTGGGAAAATTGACTGTGATTAAACTCGACATTATTAGTATACAAATAGATATTCTTGTATTTCAAAGTATACTACACTGTCAACATTAAAGTTTTCATTTGAATGCTTGTCAAGTAGAATGTTTGATGTGTTTAATTTGTATGGAAACATATGGCAAAGACTGTTCTTATCAACAAATCAACAATATAAAGATTCTAAATACAGTATGGGTTAGACCTTTATATTAAATACATGCACAAATAAGTAGGTAAAACCTATTTTTATTATAGCATTTTTAATATATTGTACGATATACTATGTTGAAACATACTTATAAAAACGTTATCGTAATATTATCTAAAAGAAAATTTTTATTAATAGTATTAAAAGTATTGGCAGCATTATTCAATTAAAAACTAACGAAAATTATTATTTTTTTTCAGACAAAAAAAGAAACAATTGATATAGTAATCTAAAAGATTTGAAATATATGAACATGTAACTATATTCACGAACTGATGATAGTAATTTGTGGACATGCTTATCATTACGAATTTTTTTTTTTTTTTTTTCAAATTAAAAAGCCGATATCGATATTATATCAATTACCAGAATCATCAGACAAAAAAAAAGCAAAAGCAAAAAGCTCAAATAAAGAGGACACTGAAGCTAATGATGATACTGGTGATGAAATTTTTTTTTTTAGGCGAAAATACTGATTGTAATAATATAAATTTACTTGTTGAGGGAGTTATGAATACTTTAAAAAATGCGCAATTTGGAATAGATTTTGTTACAGATTGAGGATTTTAGAATTAGTTTCGAATTGTATGCAAATTTTTGATTTTTAATAAATAAATCTCGCAAATTTTTTTTATCTTCAATAAATTTTTGAATAATTATAAATATTAAATAATTGTTATATTTTTAATAAATAAATTTTTTATTTACTGTTCAATTTCTTATCGTGCATATACATTGAAATAATACTTCATTATATGAAATTTTATGCCCAAGCAATTTCGAATGCTAATTAACAATATTATAGATATATATTTTATTAGTTTAATATTTTTACAAAGTTTCGTCTATACACTATATTTAATATTCCAATCCCACACATTCTGACGTCTCTCACATTTTAGCATTCACCTTTCTCAACGCGCAAGAGCAAATTAATAATTAATAAAAATAACTTCAATACTTAATATTTACAAATTAATTTTTCATACCTTCGTCCGTTGTCAAATTATGTGTGCTTATTGGTTGTCTACTAAGTTCAGATCTCAACTTTTTCACTCTATTCAAAGGTGAAATAAAGTGCTTCTCATTTAACTTCCGAATCACCTCGAAGAATTACCAAATTACTTTTACAGTTTATAAAGTAAGACGTGAACTTCCTAATTTTTTTTTGTTTTACCTTCTAAGAATTCATATTCGTGGCTCGGAATTCGATCTTGTGACGGAAAATCGTTACTTTCTTATGATAAGGTGATCTGCAAAAATTAGCAAATAATAGCGACACCAGCAAACGACGTAATAAAGACGAAAAATCCAATAAACGATGACACCAAACAATCAACGACGATATCGGAAAACCGCCAACGACGACTACAAACGAAAGTGAATAACAAAAAACGAACTAACAAATGACGTAATTAAAGCGAAAACTCCAACAAACGATGGCACTAACCAACGACGACACCAGAAAACAACGACGCCAAAAAACGACAACTACAAACGAAAGTAAAATGACAAACGAACCACTAACAAATAGTGACACCAGCAAACGGCGTAATAAAGGGAAAAATTCAACAGATAGCAACGCCAGCAAACGACGTAATAAAGGAAAGAATCCAACAAATGCTGATATCACAGAAACACCTACGAAAATACCAGAAAACGACGTTACCAAAAAATCGACAACTACAAATGAAAGTGAAATAACAAAAACAAACCACCAACAAACGACGAGGCATCAGTATACAACGACGAAATTAATTTGAAAGCACGGTACTAGCAACAACGACGTAAGAAAAGCGAAGATACGCACACCTACAACAATAAAAAAAAAAAAAAAGACAGTTAATAAAAAGAAAAAACAATATATAATTATAGTTATTTTTTTTAAAAAAAAAAATAATAGGATTCTTAGTTTCAGCTAAAAATTAGCTTACTTATCCTAGTCACCACGTAAAGGTGAATCCTAT